TAATCTTTATTCAAATAAACTTAATATAAGCTTAATATAATTCTATTCCACTTTTCGAACTCTATAGGCCAAAGTAGTGTTAGAATTACCCACATACATATATTTATATGACTTATATATTTATGTATCGTGATGCGATAATTTATACATCTACTGGAAAAATTCAGATTTTCCGAAAGCAATCACAAATATATTTATTAATTTCATAAACTTTTATCAGAATCGTACACATTGTACAACTAGTCTATCCGTGACTAAAACGTTTGTAACACCGACGGAATATCGGGAGATCATAAATAATATTATCATTGTAATTAATTGGACGAATATCCATATTGTAAGACCTACTTGTGACACTGTATTCTGCAAACAAATAAATAAATATCCTGGAATTATTATTATTAATATTTCAAACTGCTGTAAAACCGGATATAGCGTCGTATTGGAAGCTATATGCGGCAAGTGTCTATAAAGTAGTTGTGTGTTTTAATGAAGCATCAGATATGATTCTCCCGCGTACACTTAGATTGTGGAATGAACTACCAAGGTTTTCTCCAGAGACTTTAGAAGATGTAGACTTTAAAATGTCGTTGAACAGGTACCTCAGTCTCATCTATTTAACCCGCTAAACAGCTTTCTTTGTTAGCTGTGTTTAGGTTGTAGAGTTCAGATTACACTGTGAAATTACTGGATAAGTCGTATGACATATTAGTTTTCTTTATTGGCAAACATGATACTACTTATGCGTTCCCAATACAGAAAACTAAGATACATCACAGTAACAAGGTACATCACATGATAACGTGATGTGAATGGTGCTGTTCTTGTATATACGTGATGATTACTCGTTACTATCAAGAAGGCCGCTGAAATTTTCAGAGTTTGGCATTCTAAATCCCAATTATTATACATAAAAGGAGGTTTTTTCAATAAGGGTAATTGAGGTTTCTTAAGAGTCTGGGTTGATGTTTCAGGCCATAACCGATTACCATCAGATGAGCCGTATTTTTGTTTACCACCATAAGTCATATAAAAAAATATGTGGCAACTTTTATAAGGTTTAAGAAGAGTTGAAATAAGTTTAAGGCCTATGCTTAACAGAGATTATTTGCTATTTTGCCTAATGAAAGAGGAAATTCCACTGCACATCCTATGTGGTTGTAGCGCACTCATGTATAAACAAAATATCCCCATCAGAAAGTATCTACCCTGAGGAGATAAAAACCATAGCTCTTAATTACATTTTATGTGGTTGTAGACCACTCATACCTAACAAAATATCCCCATTGGAATGTACACACTCTATCCTGAGGAGATGAAAATCCTCGCTCCTAAGAATATCCTTTAATTCTTGTCCCTGAAGGGTCTAAGCAGGGAACTCTAAAAAAGGACGAGCACAATAAATCTATGCAGGTTGCAGTACTACAGGTTTTCTTTAGTAACTGGTAATAGCCTAAACCAGTGCTTCCCAAAGTGGTCTATATCGACCCCCACGGGTCTATGACAAACTGCAAGGGGTCTACGACAGCGGTCATCTTGTTGTTTTTAACACTAAACTTTACTATAGTTAGAAATTTACAAAAATCAAGACCAGGTAAGAATACCTACCCGAAACCGAAAAATATGGCAAGGGGTCTACGACACATAAAGTTTGGGAACCTCTAGCCTAAACTCTTCAATAAAAAGTTAATAAAAAATATAAATAAAAAGGGTTCAAAGTTTACATTTTCATTTTATCTTCTCGTATTTTCTGAGAGCAAATTCGAGTTCAAAGTACAAATACGTGGATAGCAAGATCCACTCGATCAAAGTCCACTCACTGCAGAGTTCTGTGAACACATAGCTTTGTAAAGCGTATGCGTCAACATATATATATATTCATGATTGTTTTTATTTGTATTAATCAATATAGAATGGTGCGTCCGCCTGCGCTAATACGAGGCTCAAGTGCCTCGTAAGGCTACGATGGAGGTTGTCTGAATATAGGTAAAGAAGTGGGATGCAAAATAAAGCAGGCCACAATATTAGTGGGTATTTATTTATATATAAATAGAAATTATATATATATAACGTTGATTCCATACTTTATAACAAAGTTCGGTTCTAGTGCTATTTTTTTTCTACAAGCTTGTATTTAGTCAGTAACATAAATACAAGACAACTGATATAAATATTTTTGTTTTATAAATACATACATAATATACATAGAAAAGAGACCGACAAGACCGACATAAACAATCATACTCACGAATGCTGTACTGCGAGGAATCGAACCAGCGACTTTCTAAAATAAAGCGGTGTGCTAAACCGCTGCACTACCGAGGCCGTCAAACTATGTTTCCATATTGTTTAATACCTAAATAAACAAATAAGTAATGGGAACGGCTGTATAACTATAACAAATATACACATGGCAAAACTAACATGAAACTCGAAAATCACTACAGCGCTGTCACAGATCATAAAATTTATTGAGCCATTCTATTTATTATCTATGCGGAAGGTTCATGTACAACTAACAATTAAACCAAAATAAATATTGTCACGAGTAATTAAACAAAAGAGTATATAGGAATAAGCCAAGCAAATGTTGTTGACATTGTTTTGTACCTGTGTATAAATATCAAGAAGAATTACTAACATTATATTTCCTTATATTATCATTCTATTAATACGTGAAGCAAAACCTTTCTACCCCTTTTTACGAAAATTATGCGGACAGAACAGTATCATTTTGATTTAATTTTAATTTTTTTTTATTTTCGAGATTATCATATTATGTTGATCCCAAATGAAAGGGAAAAGAAAGAAGCAGATAGTAATAACAGTGTGTATAAGAGAGATTCTAAAGTCCACCTCTCACTCAATACTCTAAACCAGAGATTTCCTATCCCCGCCATCTAGACCCAAGTTAAGCTATCTAAAGCTTATGTTACGGGTACTAGATAACTGATACAAGTACATAGATAATTTTTTTTCGTAAATACATACACATTATACATAGAAAACACCCAGACAGATACAAACAATCATACTTATGAATACAAATGTTTGTGCCGTGCGAGGAATCGAACCCGCGACGTCGCATACTTAAATACATAGTTTATGTAGAGAAATTGTGTACAATGCTAATTTTTTTTAATCTCTAAACTAATATTATAAAGCTGAAGAATTTGCTTGTTTGTTTAATTGAACACGCTAATCTCAGGAACTAGTGAATCGAAGTTCGAATTGGAAAATGCATTTTATGCTGGATAGTCCATTTGTCGAGGAAGGAATCCTCATACCATCATCTTTCATTTATATCCAACCAATATATACCGTTTACCAAAAGCGGGTGCATCGTTCCATATATATCAATTAAAAATCTGTTCTTATCACATCCGATATAAAAATGGTCATTACAAAAAGATGATATAGTCATGATTAAGGAATCCCCAAAAAGTGGTAATAATATCAGACCGATTCGTCATGTGGTTTTTGATGGTTTTTCTAAACTTTGCCAGTTATTTCCTTGTGTGCGCATAAAGCTAAAAAAAAATTTTTTGGTGTTGATTTGAAAAAACAAAAATTAAAAAAAAACATCATTTATCCATTCTATTTGTTTCAAATGTTAAACGTATAGAATTTTCAAGATAAGGAATAGAGACAATTTTGTTTTCTTTATTCTTGGAAAAAAATGTCCTTTCGAGTTTCTGGGCAGTTCTTCTCAACAACAGTAGCTAACCTAATTGGAAGAGAGGGATAGTTCTCAAAAATTATGATCTACATATAAGAGGCATAAATCTTACATGAATGTATTCATCGATTTTAAGATTTTCTTTTATTATCATGTTGTTTCATGTAATGTTCAAGAATCAAAATAACAGCGATCTGCGTAAATCAGCTAGAGGGAAAGTTAAAAAACAGTTTTGGAATACATTATACTATTCCAAAATCTTAAAATCGATGAATACATTCATGTAAGACATATCTTTCATATGTTATATTAAATTTAGCATGAAATATACCGCATTTAGCATCGAATATAAGATATAAGTATATCGCGCTGCAGCGTTGAAAGCGTGAATCAGTCCGACGTACTGTCAGCAATCAATCGCTACAAACAACAACAAACACCCTATAAATACAAATTTAACTATAAAGTGTAATAAATATAAAATGCATCGCCTAATTGCTTACATTATAAATAAACAAATATTTTTTCCTGCCCTATATAAATAAATTTACATGAAATTATTATTAACCTTGCCGTAATGTACTATTATTTAAGACCGGCACATTTAAAATTGCATTATTTTAGTTAAAATTATTTTTTGAGTACTTCTATTCTATTCTATTCTAATTCTTGTAAACAGTTAAAATAGCACTAGCCCATATCATAGAAATAGAAATATCTTAACTAAAGCTTAACATTGAAAAACTTATTAATTAACTAAGTTTCGGTAATTCTGCCTCGGTGGTCTAGTGGTTAAGTACACCGCGAGACTTCCGATGGTTGCGGGTTCGATTCCTTGCACGATACAAACATTTGGATTCATAAGTGATTGTTTGTATTGATTTGGGTGTTTTATTTTTGTATTATGTATATATTTACATAAAAATGTATTTATATCAGTTATCTATAACCACAGATAATAGAATATTACATACTATAACACAAGCTTAACTTGGGACTGAATGACACTGTGTAAAATTGTCTACGGTTATTATTATTATAAAATAATTATATTAATAAAATAATAATAATAATGGTGTATTTGTCAACTGTAGAACGCAAAATGGATTAAACTTCTCTGGAAATACTTCTAAAAATTGAGAAGTAACTTTATTTTTCTTATAGTTATTTTAATCACCGGAGATTGAATTATACATATAAATTGACATAAAGTTTATTTCTTCTTATATCTGGTATTGCCCAGATTCGAACTCATTGCCAATAAGCTCTAAGTCTGAGTTATAAACCACTACGCCATAACGAACTCAAATAAACAACTTACCCAATAAAAAGAAGTATACAGCAAAAATTTGCAATTTCCAAAAATACATTTTGCAAACGGCAAGTCCTTAAAGCTTCCAACTAAAACGGCGTAAAATGAAGAGTCAAATTCGAAATTTATTTTAATACACTCATCGTATTATTTATTTATAACACTTCATTTTAAATGTCACAGTGACGCATTTCTGTAATACTGTTTATCAATATCATAAATTATGGCATTAGTTTTTTTACAAAACATTAGCGCCGAGATCCGTGAGTTTTCATAATGATTTCAGATAAGATATTGTGCGTGCGAACACTACGATATGTCACGAAAGACTGACGCGTCTTCGGACTGATGAGTTGACGAACAGTCACTGAAATTGTATACAGTTTTCAGGGTCCTGTAATTCAGTACATCATGGCTGAATCCCTTTCAGATTCTCGTCTAATGAAATAGAGTGATAAAATTGAATTTATATGACCCTTCATTAATTTAATCCAGATAATTAATTAACATGTAAATAAAAGTAATGCATTTAAATGATTTAAATACTCAATTAATAATACCCTCTTTTTTGACGGACTCGGTGGTCTAGCGGTTTATTTCCGATGGTCGAGGGTTCGATTCCTCGCACGGTGCAAACATTTGTATTCATGAATACGATTGTTTGTATCGCACTGGGTGTTTTCTATATATATATTATGTATCTATTTACAAAAAAATATATCTAAGTATTTATATCAGTTGTCTAGGACCCATAACACAAGCTTTAGCTAGCTTAACTTGGGTCTAGATGGCGCTGTGTGAATTGTCCTGAGATTATTATTATTATTATATCAGTTGTTTTAGTACCTATAATAAAATATTATTATAATGAAAATGAAAAATGAAATAAAATAAACATTTATTTCTTTAAAAAACAATTTGGTTACAATAACTTAGTGTTAAGATGACCTAGTAAGCATAGAAATGCCTGTGAACGAGCGAAAAGAGCGGGATGTACCTGAGTACATCCCGCTCTTTTCATTCGTCATATGTTTGTTTGTATTATGTATGTTTATGTTATGTTTGTTTTTTTTTAGATTATTTAAGACATTAGATAACTAATATTATAAACTAAAGCAAAAGTTACTTATTAGTATAATATGTCAAGTCATAATAATATGTCAAGTTTCTTGTTGGTTCTTCTCAACTGGACTAACCAGCTAAATTAGACAATAAGATTAAAAATAGTAATAAAAAGTGGCTAAAAACATCTGTATAAATAAATACTTTTGACTTGACTGACCAACATATCAAAACCAATAAAATACATTATTTTCTCTATGAACAGTATTGACCTATTCATTGAGTTTACAATACGAAGATGCTGGAACCCTTCCAAGTTTTATTAAAAGGGATTTATGATATATTTTTAACGTTCAACATGTCGTTTGTTCATCTCAAGTGGAAACACGTGAACAGGCATTTTTATTGCTATTTTATGATCTACTTTTGAGATTGCGGTACTGACGTCACGAACTAGAACTAGACTAGTTTAGATGCCTAATAAAATAAATCTTTCATAAAAATTAAATTTACATTTTAAACTGTATTTAAGATTAGATTTTTAGTTTTTATAAGTGTCACAATAATAATAGAATCATAGAAGGATATTAATAATTATTTCTATGTTTATCAATTTAGTTTAAACTACACAAAGAATTCTTCATTTCTTCTATTGCCCATAACATTTCTTACTTATAATATAAGTTAGTTTAAACAATAACATAAAAAACATTAAAAATATATAAAGCTTTGAAAATCTCCATTGGCTGCAATACGGCCCTTTAAAAGTTTGTAAGTTTAGGCATTATCAACAGAAGCACACACTCTTTCCATGGGAAATTTCTTCACTGCCAATCTTAGGAATTGCTTTAGGGTCTCATGGCGATAAACTCCACTCTATTTTAATGTAAAAAATATATTTAACAACTGATTGGCGAGAAAATACAATGAATATTCATGTAGATAGTGGCTGTATAGGCTGAGTCCTTTCGCCTTTCCCTAAAAAAGAAAAACCGAACAAAAAAAAAAAAGAACATTAATAAAAGAATGACACATTCCAAATTCAAATGTAATAATTTGTTTATTTTTGGAGTATGTAATATATAATATATTTTTGATAAGTATGTTTGTGCAGTATATATTTCCAGGCTATGTATATATTTTTTATATTGTTGCAGGTTATATTCTAGAATTTATTTATGTCTATTTTTTAATTTGAATTCAGAATTCATAGAATTGATAAATTATAGGTTACCTGTAAGACATTGCTTTAAACGATAAGGCCGTCTTTTGTTTAGTATTTATATGTAAAGTTTTCTTTTTCTAAATATAATTCTGTATGCAATAAAGACTGATATTATATTAATTACTAAAGAAAGATACTCCAGTAGCAGAGTATCTATATGATGAAAAGATGACCACAGCATCTATACGAGATAGATAGATACGACGTCGGTCAACCTGTAGAATGAACAGTAATTTAGTGAAGATAAGCCACTTAATTAAGTGAAGATAAATACAAAAAAAATAAACACATCGTTTCCAATACTTTTGCACACCAACCGTGTTATTGTAATATACTTATAGAATCTTTTCTGAATGGGTTTTTTCCTAAATCCATTCAAACAAACGTCGACACCTACACATCGCTCGCCACGTGATTCTCACTTCTTTGTAAAAACTTTATGTTTCTTCTTGATTTATCACTTTGCCGACACGTGATCGACATTTTTGTATGTGATTAGAATGGCAAACAAACTAACGGCCTATCCGATTTTTTTTCGAACTAATCTAATAATGTTGGCCGCAGATCGTCTTTGCCAATGAACTCTAGGGGGCGAGTGTAGATGGTACTCCAAACCCGCGGAAGGACTGGCTGGAGAGGCTGAGGGGCAACTCCTGCCTGACGGTAACAACTTTATTTTGAGTCTATTCTATGAAAAAAAGGTAAATGACGTTTATAAGCATAAAGTCTGTAAAAGCCTGTCAGACCTTTCAATTTTACTGTACTACTTATTTATTACAACCTTAATACACAAACAAGGGTGCGAAGAAAATGGCGGTTATAACATACCAAGGTATTTTCTTCCAGTCAACCATAGAAACGAACAGAGATTTATGTAGGCAGTGTATTTAGAAAAAAATAATGGTATGAAATAGATTGAAAAGAAAATGAACAGAATATTTATAAACATAACTACATACGCGTACATATACTAATACATACATATACAATCAGATATATATACAAATATAAACGATGTTCATTCACTGTTGATTTGTATATAGTATATATATATATCTGTTTTGTTTTATGGAAGGGGGGAAGGGAATTGTTAGTAATGTGGACTGATGATCCCATTGCTAGCAATGTACCATGTCAGGTTGACCTCCATGCGGTTCCCCCTGGAAACCATCGTGATAAATTCACCGGAAATTTATCCGATGGTTTCCAGGGGCTAACTAACTTATCTAAGCGCAGGTGGGTGCACCAATCCATTATCATGCACTAAAAAAAACACCTTAAGGAATATTCAACCTTTAACTTAAAACCATAGGTGTTGTTAAGTTGCTTAGTATTTGAAATAGGTCATAATGAGGTGCTTATGCAGGCAATATTGTATCTGAAAAGTCTTTGGTAAAAATTTTGCACAAATCCATTAAGATACTTAATAGATTTATATTATTTTGTTTAATTACATTACTACTCGCATTAGCATATGTTACGCACTGATGTTTCTGATCTTACACATGCCAATAGTAGCGGTATTAAGCAATAGAATAGAATATAAACTTCATTTAAGCACTTTTGAATAGTCAACAATTTTTTTTTTAATCTATCGCGTATTCGGAAGACTGTCTCATTACAAGAATAATAAGCAAGAAACTTACAAAATACTACAAATTCATTAATATCTTATTTTGCGTATATATTCCTTTCATCAAACAAAATATAGATAACCACAAAATCATTACACCAAATCTACGTATTCTGCACAGTCATAAAACATAAATCCCCTAATAATTACACCTACATTGGCGACATGTCCAATATTTCCATGCATATACAAACAGACAATAAAAAATGAGTTTTATTGCTTACTTTACTAGACATAAATTCGAGTATGTCATCTATATACCTCGTAGAATAAATTAATATTACACTACACACCTGGCACAGACAATAAATTTTTATATTATGGTATTTATTAAATTTTTGTAACGATTGTAGGCTACCAACATCCTTATATTCCCAACAGCCACATCTTATTAATGTTATAAATGCAAAAGTTTGTGAATATAGATCAATGTTTGTTAATCTTTCACGCAAACCTAATGAACGGATTTTGTCGAAATTTTACAGTAATATAGCTTATATGTCAGAATAATATATAGGCTATAAATCTCACGCAGGAATAGAATAGAAAATCATTTATTCAAATAAACTTAATTTAAGCACTTTTGAATGGTCATCCATGGTGAACCGCAGTCACAGATAGTGACAGAATAAATTTACTAAAAAGTATATAGTTTTTTTTTATTATAAACGTCATTTATTCGCCTACAAATTATTGATCTAGGAAGTTGTTTTCGATTATTTTTGTTTGTTATTTTATTCTGTATATTATCGATATTACATACTTCGTCTTTTTATATTGAATTTTTCATTACTCTCACTCCTTCTATTATCAACAAGCCAATATTAGTAGTTTAACAATAAATAATAACTAGATAATATTCGAGTTTTTAATTAAATACTAGGTGTGTCACACGCACGTTGTTGACTCTTAAGTTAAAAACTACGAAAGTAGAAATATATGCATTTATATTATTCTTAATTTCTTACTTAGTCAATTGTAATTAATTCATACTCCTAACAAATACATAGGAGAAAAGCGATTGTTACTAATATCACAGATAATATAATATTACATACTAATACGTACTGATGACCCCGTTGCTAACAATGCACCATGTCAGATTGATACCTTCTACCTACCTTGTTCGGTTCGGTTGCGGTTCATGGAGACCATGATAAATTCCTAACGAATTTGTCACAATGGGCTAACTAACCTGACCTCATGTTCGCCCTAACATCCTACACTACTGCCTCGCCAGCCTATACCTTTAGCTCAGGCGAATGCACCATTCCATTATCATAAATAAAAACTAATAAAAACACATATTGTTTGGACAATGAATTAACCCAACTTTCTACACAAACACATAAATCAAAACCCCCATATAAATCATAAGTATAATAAAT